TGATTCATGATTGCTTTGCGGCAGAAACGGGATAGCGGTAATCACTCGTGCATGTCCACAATGTGCTATAGCATCTAAAATTGTATTAACAGGCAAATTTATGTGCTAAATCAAAGATCAATATAAACAAAAGTCGATGCAAAAGATATTCGTAAAGTGGTAATAATTTCTGATTTTAAGGGTAAGATTTATAACTTTTAAGCATTTCATTTTTAAGTTCGACATAAGAGCTTAAGGTGATAACATTGTATTGTGGGCTATTATTCCTAATCTGGTTACTAATTGGGCTGTACGATTGGCTGCATCTTGAGGTCAATAAAACAAAAAAAACACCTCACATATAGAAATATTTATTACAACAGAACGAATGACTATACACAACTTAGTATCATTAAAATTAATACATTTAACAGCGATGCAATAAATTTACATAAACATTTATATTATAACAACGATATAATTACAATCTTAATTATTATATAAAACATTATGTTTAACTTTTTCAAACAACTAATCTACTGGATATTTTAATTACATTTAATTAATAATATAATTACTACGACATTTTGTTCTTTTCCCCTTTCACTTATTGTGTACGCGGAAAACTATGATCAACGTTTATTATTAATCTCAATTAATATTTACATATATACATACGAATGCACATATATTATTCATGTCAATACGGATATGGTAAGGATATGTCGAAACAATTTTATACTTTTAATTTGGTATAAAAAAAATTTTGTCGAAAGCAGAGAGAAGATAATCTGTTTTATTTTGCTGATCCGGGTTAAGCGTTGCCTCTTTTAACTCTTAACGATGTGCGCTGTATTTTTTTTTAATGCAAAGCTGTGTCTCGCCTAGCTGTCTTCGAAGCCTAAAAAGGGAGTAATTATCTCTAAGACAAGCGGGAGAAACGTTGCAACGTGTAATAAAAATCAAACCCACAAAATTATAATTTGCGTAATTACTGGTGGTAGGACCTTTTGTGAGTCCGCGCGGGTAGGTACCACCACCCTGCCTATTTCTGCCGTGAAGCAGTAATGCGTTTCGGTTTGAAGGGTGAGGCAGCCGTTGTAGCTATATTGAGACCTTAGAACTTATATCTCAAGGTGGGTGGCGCATTTACGTTGTAGATGTCAATGGGCTCCAGTAACCACTTAACACCAGGTGGGCTGTGAGCTCGTCCACCCATCTAAGCAATAAAAAAAAACTATGTATTTGTTTTTCCACCACATGCTTATACATTAAATTTTGTTGTTCAGCGGGAAATTGTCGTACAAAAAATTACATTTACGTATTTTGTAGTAGCAGCCTAATGTGACCCCATAGTTTTTGATTATCCCCACAAGACCACAATGTGGGCCGAAAAATAATTAAAAATAAATTCTTTCCTAAGCGACCTTCAGCGGTACTATGAATAAATAAAAGATTTGTAGCGAAAATGACGTTTTCCCAACTGAAAACTTTTGTTTGCTATAGAACAAAGTTTTGATGGAGCTCATTTCTCATTAATTATGTACATGCTGGACGTGAAATGTCCGTCAGAAATCATTTCTTATTCCCTCTTTTTTGTTCGACATAGGGGACCTTTGGAAACAATTTGAGAGTTTCGACTTTTTTTTTTTCTTTTATTTATATGTGAATAGAAAAACAGATAATAAGAAAATGGTATTCTGTAGAGACTTTTGGACTTGTTGCGCCTCGTTTCAAATACCGAAGGAAGGTAATCAATTAATATATGTATATTAGGGCGTATTTTGAGTCCGCACGTGTAGGTACCAACATTCTTCTTATTTCTGTCGGGATTCAATCAGTAGGCAATAAATACAAGATTTGATCCTTAGATGGTATAACAGTAATATCGAGACTGACACGAGTTTTTTTTTTTTTTTTGCTCTGATGGGTGGATGAGCTCACAGCCCACCTGGTGTGAAGTGGTTACTGAAGCCCATATACATCTACAACGTAAATGCGCCACCCACCTTGAGATATAAGTTCTAAGGTCTCAAGTATATTTACAACGGCTGCCCCACCCTTCAAACCGAAATGCATTACTGCTTCACGGCAGAAATAGGCAGGGTGGTGCTACCTACCCGCACGGACTCACAAGAGGTCCTACCATCAGTAAAAACGTGTTTTAAAAGCGGGTAAAGACATTTAATTTGTCAGTAGTTAGTAGACAATGCGCACTGCCTATCATACCTACCTACATCAACCGAAAATAATATAAAATAATCAATATTCATCTCTTCTTCTTTTTCTCCACCTTATCCCACTAGGTGTGGTCGGCACAGCTAATTTTTCTCTTCCATTCTCTTCTTACAGGTGTCATCTCAACACTCACTCCTCTTTTTCTCATATCGTCATTCACACACTCTATCCATGTCTTCTTCGGTCGACCTCTTCCCCCTCTACCTTGCATTACCATTTCCATACATCTCCTAGTCACATGCATCTTCTCTCTACGCCTTACGTGTCCATACCACGCTATATTCATTTACGAGTATTTTATTTCTAACGATTGGCAACAGAGAGTGGAATGAATTCAAATAGAACTCCATACCTATATGTCAACCTGGTACTTTGTAGGCAGCGGCTTGGCTCTGCCCCTGGCTTTGCTGATGTCCATGAGCGACGGTAACCGCTTACCATCACGTGGGCCGAATGCTCGTCTGCCTGGGCGATAAAAAAAACTTTGAAAAATAAAATGGTCAATTCGAGACGAGAAGACAGCACACTTGGTCATAAGTTAGCAAAATTTGCGTGAGAGCCTGAAGCACTTCTGATGGTAATATTCGACCTCAAACAAAATACCGCCTTAAAGCATGAAGTCGAAGTTTCTGGTATGATCTGCGACAATATCAGAACTGTGATACCCGTAGTTTATTCGACTATTATTGTATGTGAGTTGACATTGTCAGTATTTTAACTGGATTTATATCGTTCTGATTACGTCGTGGATTTTGCTCCACTTCCTTGATATATGGCAACACATTACAGCTCCCCCTATATGTTATCGTCGTGGCCTAAAGGATAAGACGTCCGATGCATTCGCATGTAGCGATGCACCGGTGTTCGAATCCCGCAGGCGGGTACCAATTTTTCTAATGAAATACGTACTCAACAAATGTTCACGATTGACTTCCACGGTGAAGGAATAACATCGTGTAATAAAAACCAAACCCGCAACATTCTCCGCATTCTCTCTATAACATGTCTTTATTATCTCTCATATGTGTCCAAATGTGGCACGATTCTAACAAACATTCAACTCTCAATTGCGTCCACTTCTGCATGTCTTACCAGTTTCCCTTCGAAAATTATAAGCGAATAATGAAACACTTTACATGCTGGCTTTACTGGTGGTAGGACCTCTTGTGAGTCCGCGCGGGTAGGTACCGCTGCCCTGCCTATTTCTGCCGTGAAGCAGTGATGCGTTTCGGAATGAAAGGTAGGGCAACCGTTGTAACTATACTGAGACTTTAGAACTTATATCTCAAGGGGGGTGGCGCATTTACGTTGCAGATGTCTATGGGCTCCAGTAACCACTTAACACCAGGTGGGCTGTGAGCTCGTCGACCCATCTAAGCAATAAAAAAAAAATGCGATGCTTATATCCCATGGTAAATCAATCACATATTTTTTCATTTGCTTGCATACCTGCACAGCGGCTATAAGCGGCTTTTGTCATTAACAATGTTCATAGCCTACATTTCTATGTATGAGCGGATCATTCTTCGTCAGACATCTTATCTTACCAACTACCAGATAACCGATGATCTTAGTTTACTTAAATATTCGTATTTTTAAGAGGTTCAATGTAATTTCGCGAAAGTATCAATTTTACTAAAATCTCACAGTAAACTTAATACACGTGCATTAAGCATTTAAGCTTTTTGTGACAATACTATTCGCTCACATTGCACGCTCAAATATTATGTTGATTTAGTTTCAAAGCAAACCTTTTTCCTTCGTTGAAAAAGATATTTCGTAAAATTTAGTCTGCCACAACTTTTTACTATATTATACTGTATTTATTTCTAATTTGAGTAAATAAATGTCTAATTTCTTTTTCTAATAGTTTATTCAAAAAAGTTACTAATAAGAAATATTAAGTAGGTTATTAGAGAGTAAACTGATCTTGAATTGAGATCAAAGTTTGCTTAAAAGCTTTCGAAAATAGATTGGGGACTGGTGGAAAAATAATTACACGGATAAAATTGTTTACATACGAACCTTGATTTTTAGCATCGACATTTAATTAAAGCAGAAAAAAAAAATTACCTGGAAGATTTTATCTTACGAAGCGGAAAAGTCAACTGGGAAAATTTCCCGAAGCGTCCTAGATAATTTTTAAGCCGGCCGGCTTTAGGAGCCTCTCATTCGAAATGTCTCCCGAATAACGCATTCACTTAATCTACAGAGGATTTTCCATTACATACAATTTATCTTTATAAATTCAATTTATCCTTAAACAATATATTCACAACAAACATCGATTCAGTTTTAGATTATTACTAGCTGACCCGGCAAACATTGTTTTGCCATATATAAGATTTCTAGGGAATTTCTAGTGTAGAAAAAAAACTAACTTATTGTAAGTGTGTAAGGATGTGGTAAATGAATGAAAGAGGTATGTAGTGCTGTGAACGATGAGGGAATATATAATAAAAATAACAAAACCTCATTCAACCACATAATACCTCATTATAACAAAAAAAATGTCCGAATAAAAAAAAATATGTTAGTAGGGGGACAACCCTAATCACTTAGGGGTATGAAAAATAGATAGTAGCCGATTCTCAGGCTTACTGAATATGCATAAAAATTTCATCGATTTGAGAATCGGTCAAGCGGTTTCGGAGGAGTATGAGAACGAACATTGTGACACGAGAATTTTATATATTAGATTCAATGATAAAATTTTCCGATTTAATATTTGAGTTAGCGATAGGTATTTACACGTTTTTTGTTTATTTTAAATCTAATATCACAAATACCTTCATTTATATTAAAGTTTTTAGAGAAACAATAGCGGTAACACGATTAAAAGCGAACGATGGTAGAGAAAGCTGCCGCCAGAGAATGCCTTAAGCCTTATCTCATTTTGCACGGGATGTCCGTACGATTCCTCTACCGACTGCAACAAATCTTTAGGGCACGGCAACGTATCTAATGGAATATCTAACAGTTTGACGGCGTTATTCGTTTTGAATTTATTCCTTTGGCCGTAGTCGTCGTTTCTGTCATAATAATCGTAATTCTCATCGGCCAAGACGTTATCTTTAGCGTTAGTCGCTTCGACGTGGTCGTTGAGATGTCTATCGCTCTCTGGATCCTGGATACATGATACTTTGTCGAGGGCGTGTCGTAGAGTGCTCTCCTGGGTCTCGTTACGTAAAACGTATATCCAGGACAACCGGCAATTACAGTCGAGTGGATTACCTGAAATTAGAACAATAATTAGTTTGCGTGTTTTGGTTTACGTGTTTTTTTTTTCTAACGCGATCCTTCCAATTCTAAAGCGCTAAACATTACGCTTTTATATTCGTTTCCTTACAATGCCCCTCTGATTTGGAACGCTCTATTGTTTTGTTGTTAATAAAACTAAAGTATAATTGTTATGCAGTCATGAAAACTGTAGTAGTAGGACCTCTTGTGAGTCTGCACGGGTAGGTACCATCACCCCGCCTATTTCTGCCGTGAAGCAGCAATGCGTTTCGGTTTGAAAGGTGGGGTAGCCGTTGTAACTATACTGAGAACTTAGAACGTATATCTCAAGGTGGATGGCGCATTTACGTTGTAGATGTCTATGGGCTCCAGTGACCACTTAACACCAGATGAGCTATGAGCTCGTTCACCCATCTAAGAAAAAAAAAAGATGTGTGGTGTCGTGGGACACCGGATAGGAACGAAGTTCCTTATTATAAAAATATTAATTTTAAGTTCTATTCAAGGTATTAAGAAAAGTATAAACTGGAGGTTTCGCAACAACCCACGGTCATTCAGTAACATGCGAACTTATAGAGGTACACTTCATTCCAGTTGTTTGCATAAGAGTTAGTGTATTGCGCAAACGAACGCTCTGAGATCGTGGTCAATGAATGATAAAAAAATATGTTATTTTTTGTACGTTATTACAAAGTTCAGTCGTACACTGTGTGCATTACTGTGCGCATTTGTACGTTATTACAAAGTTAAGTCGTAGACTGTGCGCATTACTAATAAAAATCTTACGTTACGGACGTTTTTTCCCGGTTAGGGTACCCCTCCGCATCGTCCCATAAGAAACTTCGTTCCAAAAAGTAGGCGGTAATTGTTTTGATTGCACGAACAATAACGGTAAAGTGTAATGCTTAAGTATGGCGGGCACGTTCATGCGATATCACACAGTGCTGATCCATTTTATTTGCATTCGCGCGGCGTCGGGATTATCAGAGAGTAGCCAGCAGCGCAACCTGCCGCGGGGAGATAGTTGGAGCTGGCGTGAACTAAGAAAAATGGCGTTTATCCGAACTTGGCACGTACTGGACACTTATTCTGCGCAAACCAGACCGCCGCTGTGCGGAATTAAGGATATTTCCTAAGCGGAGTTAATTTATTTTTATATTGATCGAGTCGATCGATTCAGTGAATTTTCCACTAAGTTTAGTTTGATTGGGTTTGTCGAAAATGATTTTCATTTTAACGCGGCTAAGTTAAATTTTTCCTCGCTCCGTTAATAAAAAAGTCGAAATTTAAAGGCATATTTACCTACAATGTGACTGTAATTAAAAGATTGCATTCAGTAAGCCGATAACGTGTAACATTAATTTTAACAGTATAATTTGTAAAGCAGATGTGTTTTAAAGGGAAAAAGTATTATTTTAAAATACAATAAAGCATCAGGTCGTTTTACAAATGGATGAACGAGCTCAAGGCTCTCTGATATTAAGTGTTAACCCACCTTGAAAGATGAGGACAGAGTCCAATTTGTTATGCATAACGGCTGTCCTACCCTTCAAGCTGGAGCTTGATTGGTGAGAGCTTTGGGGCAGAAATAGGAGGGTTGGTGGCGTTTACGATATCCACACCATTAGCTATAGCTAGTGACTAAATGTATTCATAATAGATATCTATATATTAATACGTGAAGCAAAAACATTGTATCCCTTTTTACGAAAATTGCGCGGACGGAGGATTATGAAATTTTCCACACTTATAGAGAATATAGAGAAGAAGTGCACAAAGCTAATATTTTTTAAAAATAATGCATAAAAGATACATTAAATCAATAAAGAAAATATTACACACACCACATACCATGTATTTGACGCACACACGCATGCATACTATTTATTGTCAAACTTTTGTTCTTGACGTCTGTGGTCAAATTGAGAATAGATTGTATATTGTGTCTTTATTAACATTTTTTTATAGTGTAGCCTTGGCAAAATTTGTGATTATAGAAGTATAAAATACAATCATAATAGTGTACAGACTTACAATTCCAATTAATTATAGTCGAATTTCGACTACTGCGGGACCTCTAGTAGTAGTAAAATGTTCTATTACGTTATCGAGTTCGTTTGTGGAATATTAATTCAATAAATTTTCAGTTTCGGATAGCATAGTATGGACATGTGATGCGTAGAGAGGAGACGCATGTGACTAGAAGACGTATAGAAATGGTAGAGGGGGAAGAAGGCATGAATGGAGTCTGTGAATAACGATAAGTGTAACGGCTAATAGAAGAGAATGAAATAGAAAAATTCGCTGTGCCGACCTTACCTAATGGGACAGTGGTGGTCGGGGGTCACGGATTCGAATCCCGCCAAAGGAAGATATCTGTATGATAAATATAAAAATGTCTTTTCCAGGGTTATGGATGTATATTAAATATATTATTATGTATTTGTATAATAAAAATCTTACGTTTATTTCCGTTATCTGGTAAACTGTAACACAAGTTCTTTACGAACTTAGCACGGGACCAGTTAACGTGGCGTGATTGTTAGTAAATATTTATTATTATTATTATTATTATTAAAGGAGAAGAAAATTTTCAGTGAATTTAAAGTATCTCAATAAACAAAGTCGGTTAAAGTCGGATTAAAATGAACGTGAAGACAAAAGATATCGAGTGGCGTATTCAGCGCTTCGGGATCTACCTATTACGTTCAATGAACGGCTAGCACAGTAAATAACATTATGTAACAAAATCAAATACCCAAAACTTTTAGGATAATTCGAAAGCTTTCATCAGCTCCGAACGGAAAGCGCAGTCCCCGTTTATTTATTTATTTTATTTATTACACTTCATGTAGAATTTACATTGGCGGACTTAATGCCTAAGGCATTCTCTACCAGTGAACCAAAGGTAATGCAGAGTAAATAGTGGTAGGTGCAATGAAATTTATATTAAGTTACGAATATATACAAAAAAGTATATATACATATATACAAAATCACATATACATATACACACATACATACATATAATATATTAATAAATTTACTTAACAAATAACTTCATCTCAATAAGTTCATGACGATTCCGCTAACTTTTAGAAACCCGTTTAGAAAACAAATGATACTTTCAGCTCACGATAGGTAGTGTTTCACAACAGATATGCCTTTAGCTTGTCTAAGCTGGTGGTAGGACCTCTTGTGAGTCCGCACGGGTAGATACCACCACCCTGCCCATTTCTGCCGTGAAGCAGTAATGCGTTTCGGTTTGAAGGGTGGGGCAGCCGTTGTAATACTGAGGTCTTAGAACATATATCTCAAGGTGGGTGGCGCATTTACGTTGTACTTAACCCCAGGTGGGCTGTGAGCTCGTCAACCCAACAAAGCAACAAAGAAAAATAAAAAATATATATGAAGAACACAATTGTGTAACAACACATTTTGAATAAGCAGCTTAAGTTATCGATCGAGTGATCTTTTTTGCTAATACTCAAAATTCGAGGCTTGCCTATATTTATTCCTCTTTGATATGTGTGTTTCCGGTTACCATGACATAGGGAGATATCGTATCTAAAAAATAATAATGTTACGTTACAAAGAAAAGAATGTAACAAAGGAATAAAAAAAACCTCTCGAGACTAAACTAAACTAAACTCTCATGTTAGTGGCAGATATTAAATATTTGACGTAATATTATAAGAAATATTTGGTGTTACATTCAATAAGCTATAATTTAAGTCCAGGTTGGCTGTAAATCATGCTTCCTACGTCACAGTCTGGTTTGCGCTAGCGGGTTCACCGCTGAATCCATAATGAGTTTCTGAATACAATTTCGCTATGTAATTTTAAATTTTTAACCTCACGCTCATACTTCTTTTGTTTTATTTACGACTAGGTGACCCGAAATAAATAAATGGATAAATAAAAACAATGCTTTCGTTTATAATTTTAAAAAAAGTTAAGGAATTATTCCTAATTAACGAGTAGGTATCACGACCCTATCTATTTCGGCCGTGAAGCAGTAATGCGTTTCGGCTTGAAGGGTGGGGCAGCCGTTGTAACTATACTTGAGACCTTAGAACTTATATCTCAAGGTGGGTGGCGCATTTACGTTGTAGATGGGCTCCAGTAACCACTTAATACCAGGTGGGCTGTAAAAAAATAATAGTTATTCTTTCCCGTAGTCAAATCGGTCCGGAAGAGTAAGAAGTTATTATTTAAAAAAACGCTGTTTATCTTAAGATAAGCTATACGCTAATAAATTGCAGGCTCAAGTGCCCATATTTCTACATCAATGAAAACGGCTAGAATACGAAAATAGTCGTCTTTTGTTTTCATTTCATTTCACTCCGACTGGTACACCCAATTAGTTAGTCTAGACTAACTTATTTATCTTCTAATTATCTATTTCTCAATTTCGTCCGCGACTGTCCAATTTATCTCAATTTTAAGACTCCTCATTGTAGTAAGCCAGAGTTAGGGCAGAGAACATCATTACTAAGAGCATTTTAGTTAAATTCTAACGGAATCTATATATTAATACGTGAAGCAAAAACTTTGTACCCCTTTTTACGAAAATTGCGCGGACGGAGGAGTATGAAATTTTCCACACTTATAGAGAATATAGAGAAGAAGTGCACAATGCTAATATTTTTTTAAAATAATGCATAAACATACATTAAATCAATAAAGAAAACATTACACACACCACATACCATGTATTTAACGCACACACGCATACATACTATTTACTGTCAAACTTTTGTTCTTGACGTCTGTGGTCAAATTGAGAATAGATTAAATATTGTTTGTCTTTATTAATATATTTTTATAGTGTAGCCTCGGTGAAATTTGTGATTATAGTATGTGTACAAACTTACAATTCCAATTAATTATAGTCGAATTTCGACTGCTGTGGACCTCTAGTTCTTGTTAAAACGTAATTGAGGCTTGCCTTTATATAAGTTTCGAGAAAATTCCAGGTCACGGGCGTCCTT